GTGACCCTAGGAAGATTATTTAATTTCTCTAGGACTCAGTTTTCTCATTCATAAGATAGATACATGAGGATAACAGTACATATTCCACAAAGTTGTGTAAAGTTAGGATAAGGTTTGTGAATGATGGGAAACAGTACATTAGTTATTGTAACAAGAAAGACATGCATTTCTCTTTCTTAAAAGTCTGGATAAGTGGTTTAGGACTGATAAGATGAATCCATGCTCCCTGGGAATAAGCTCCTTCTATTCTTTGACTGTCATCCTCAACTTGTGGCCTCTACTTCATGAACCAAGATAGGTGCTCAAGCTCCAGCCATTACATTTTCATTCTAGCCAGCAGCAAAGAGAAGAGAGGAGGTGAAGAGGGTCCTGCCTCTTCCCTTCAACCACTTCCATTTACATTCATTAGCTTGAACTTAAGCTCAGGAACATAGCCAGCTGCAGTGGAGGCTGGGAAGTGTAATTTTTATCACAGGTGGTCATGTGCTTAAATATTAGAGTTTCTTTACTATCAAAGAGGGGAAAATGAGTATTGACCCAAACAACTAGCAATCTGCCATAGGTCTTTTGAGATTTAAATGAGACGATGCAGGTGGAGAGCTGAGCACAGTGTTGGCCACAGAACAAGAACTCAGTGATCATCATCATCATCATCATCATCATCATCATACGACCATGAGAAGGTGGGAAATACTTTGAAACTATGACAAAATAGTTTCTTATCTGAACCTCATCTTGCTGATAAAGTCAGCCTCATCCATCTCCTTTTTAAGATACTATGAGCTTCATCTCTCGGACATGTATACCTCTTATAAAATGAAACCATATTAAAGAAAAGCAAGGGTATGGTGACCATTGGACATAAGATCATTGTTATCTTTGACTAAGGAGATAGAGGTGGGTTGGAGGAGGTGAAGGAACCACCTAGTTAGATATATGTTATTGTCAAAGTCTAGTTTTGATTTTGAGTAGTGGATTTGTGGATGCTTGTTAATTATTAAAAATAACAAATAATTAAATAAAAGCAGAGATACATGGGCCAATGATTCCATAATGAGGGTATGTCATGAGTCAAGGATTCTAATTAATCCAATACTGCGTACTTGAGGTCTTTAAATTGTCTTCGTGCGTACAGTTTTGCCTGACATATGTTTTTGCATGTAAATAATAGACAAAAATAGTACTTTCTATTTCTATAGACTTTTAACATTTAAAGGGCTTCTGCACACACAGAAAAACTGTTCAAGTAGTTCATTACAGATGGTTGAGTTTGATGTTATGGGACTTTGGACTTCTGTGTCCTAATGGAAAATACTTTTATCCTTACAACAGCTCTACAAGGTAGGCAGGTCAAATGTTATTATCGTGGTTTTACAGATGAGAAAGAGGGAACTAAGAGGGCAAGGGACTTTCGTGAGTTTACATAGCTGGTTAGTGCCGGGATGGAACGTAAGACCCTTCATCTCTTGCCTAGTGCTTCTTTCTTCAGTCCATCTCACAACCTAGTTATTCATCCATTAGGCATTTATTCTGTGTCTGTTACATGTCAGTAACATTGTGCTTATGTGTTTGTGTTTATGGATGTGTGTGTTTTCTGAGCATTATGTGCAGTTTATGTAATCCCTATACACTGTATACAAGCCCTTAGAGTCCTTGTGTGCCCTCAGGCCTAGTGGGCCCATGTAACTCCAGGAGAAATCCCCAGCTGGGGTTTCAGTTGTCTTGTTATTCCTGTCACTGGGCTTCAGCACTTTCCCAGAGCCCCAGCGAGGTAGGCAGGCAGCTTTGGTATCAGGGACAGATCCCCAGGCCGTGGGTACAGAGCAGAGGAGCAAGCCAGCGGAGCCTCAGTGATGATACTATTGACTGTTACATGATCATTTGTAGTTTATGAAGAGGTCTTATAAACGCCGTCTCATTTAATTCTCACTCAGCCCTAATAGTGGATTTTATTATTTTTCTCATTTTTTCTTGTGCAAAGAGAGGATAAATGACTTGCTTAAGGTTACTCAAGTTAAGGACAGATTTGAATTCAGGTCATTTGTCTCTAAATTCTGTTTTCTTTCCACGGTGCCTGGCTGCGTCCGAAAGGGCAAAGAGAGCTTATTGTCTTTCTAGCCTTGTGGAGACAAGCAGGTGATAGCTCAATGTCAAGCAGCAGGAAGCCCCCAGTGACCTTCTGCAGAGGAAAAAATACCAACTCAGATCCCTGAGTGGCCCCAGACCCTGAACCTCCTATCAGCTGAGAAAGACACTGAGCAGCTAGAGTCCCCCCACCCCCCCACTATACCTGCATCCTTATCTTAGTCTGTGGGTATCTCCCATGTGTGCTTGGGAAGGTGACAGCAGTGCTATAGAACTGGTGAGGTAAAGGTGTCTTCTAGTCTCTGTGGCCTCTGGCAGTCCCTTTGTCTTCGAAGAGTCAGGGTTTGGGGAACTGTCTAACCACATTCATCCTCTAGCACAGGAGGAAGCTCTGGGTCCTGAGGTGAGTCCCTCTGCCCTGTCTCCCAGACCTGAGTCTGCCACTCTCCCGATGCTGTCCACTTTTCCCCACAGGTTACTGCCGTCCACCTCCGCAAGGCTGAGCGCGGCACCACGTACTCAGTCCGTGTGTGCACTAAATGAACCCTTCTTGAAAAAAGCAAATATTTGTGTCGGGGCACTGTTTCTCTCCTTGGTCCATGGAGCGAGTCCTGCTCGTCCTGGGAAGGAATGTGCTGGGAGGGTAACTTCTGCCTTTCATTCCACCCCACCTGCCTTGCTTCAGTCCCGAAGGGCCCCTCTCCTCTGATGTTACCTTCTCCCTTTCTTCCTAAGCTGGGTATCCCTGGATAAGGGGGCTCTGTGGTGTTGGGGGGAAATATGAGGGGCCAAGTGTGGCCATAGGTCATGCCCCATTCTTTAATTTGGTCTTATCAGTAATTAAGATGAGGTTTTGTCTTCGCCTGTCTGGTTCCTTTGTCTGATTTCTCAACTGTTTTGCTGGTCAGAAGAGGGAGTAGGTCAGCAGGGATGTATTTAATGGTCATCTGCAAACCCCATCAGAAATGTGTATAGAGGCCTTACGGCAGCTTATACCTCTGGCTTCCTCGGTCCCTTCCTCTGATGTAGGCTACACTACCGGTCCAGCTAGATCCTTATCATCTTCCTCGGAGACAGAGGGCTAACCTGGACTGGAACTCCGCTTCTTCAAAAATACCCACTTCTCCTCATGGCTGTAGGTTCAGGGTCTAACTTTTCCACGCTGGAAATCAGAACCTATTCACTAGAACTTCCCACTTGTTATATTGTCTTATCTAATTCTCTCTGCAACCCTATGGACAGGTATTGCTGTTCCCCACTGAGAGAGGAGCAGTGGCTTGCTCAGGATCACACAGCCTTGGAGAGGCTCCCCGAATCCAGGCAATCTGAACGTCAGTTCATCCTCTTCCTACCCTGTATCCATTTAATTAAAACAAAATTTTTTTAAATTGATTTTTAGAGAGAGGAAGGGAGAGGGAGAGAGAGATATAGAAACATCCATGAGAGAGAACATCCATTGGCTGCCTCCTGCATGTCCCCCACTAGGGATTTGGCCCACAACCTGGGCATTTGCCCTGACAGGGAATTGAACCAGTGATCTCTTGGTGCACAGGTCAATGCTCAACCACTGAGCCACATCAACCAGGCCTCTGTAGCTTTTCGAAAAGCTTATTTATTAAAAAAATTTTTTTTCTTTACTGATTTTTTTTTAGAGAGAGAGAAAGGGAGAGAGATAGAAACATCAATGATGAGAGAATGTATTCTTTTAAAAAGCGAACTTATTATTATTATTTTTTATCCTCACCCGAGGACATTTTTCTATTTTTTGTTCAGGTAGAGTGGGAGGGAGAGGGAGGAAGAGAGAGAGAGAGAGAAACGTGGACGTGAAAGGGACACATCGAGTGGCTGCCACCCGCACAACCAACTAGGGCCGGGGACAAACTGCAACGAAGGTGCGTACCCTTAGCAAAAACCGAACCCGGGTCTCTCAGGACCACAGGCCGATGCTCTAACCGCTGAGCCAAACCGGCCAGGGCTAACTTATTATTATTATTTTTTAAAAATATTACTTCTTATTTATTTATTTATTTATTTATTTATTTATTTATTTATTTATTTATTTTTATTCTCACCCCAGGACATTTTTCCTTTTTTTTTGTTTTGTTCAGATAGAGTGGGAGGGAGAGAGAGAGAGAGAGAGAGAAAGAGAGAGAAACATCGACGTGAAAGGGACACATCAAGTGGCTGCCACCCGCACCACCCAATCAGGGCCAGGGACAAACTGCAACGGAGGTACATGCCCTTAGTGGGAACCGAACCGGGTCTCTCTGGACCGCAGGCCGACGCTCTAACCACTGAGCCAAACTGGCCAGGGCTAACTTAGTATTTTTTAAAAAACCGCTAATTTATGTGAAAAGATGTTCAAAGGTATAAATATTAAATTGTTCAAAGTTACACAAGTTTGTACTGAAAAACAATAAATTTATGAGAAAAGAAATGCAAACATCAGAGGAAAATGCAAAAGAAACGCAAAAGTCAGAGTTAATATTTGCTTCACATCTATTCCTAGGATGAATGGCCTCTAGCTCCAGCCCACCCAGGAGGTCTCATCCAGCCCCTATTTTCCTAGTCGTCCCTCTCCTTCAAAATACACCTTCACCTCCCAATTGCCTGATGCGAAGAGCCAGACAATTGGAAAATGGATTTTCTATCTGAACTATGCAGCTACTTTCATATGCCTCCCCCTCCCCTTTGCGTGGCCAGATAAATTCAGGATTTCTCGGTCCCCCACTCCCTGTCTCCTGTCCCTCAGCCCCCAGCCCCGCCCTCAGCGCTTCAGAGGCCTCCTGTCCTTCCCTTTAAGGCCAGCCCCTCCCCCACGCCCACGCCTCCCGGGCCCGCCCCCCTCCCCTAGCCCTGCCCTCTCCGACCCTCCCCTTTAAGGACCAGCCCCGGACGCAGACGAGGCTGTGACGCGGCCGCAGGCCCCCGGGCTGGATAGTTAGTCGCGCGGCCGCTTCCCCCCGGGCTGGGCCCCCGCCGTCCCGCGTTCCACCGAGCGCCAGGCCCCCGGGGGGAGGGTGGGAGGGAGGGAGCAGGGCCGATCGGCGCCAGCGGAGCACGGCGGGACCTACGGAGCCCCGCGACCCGCCGAGCCTGGAGCCGGGCCCGGCCGGGGAAGCCGGCTCCAGCCCGGAGCAAACTTCGTCGCCGGGCGGGGGGTGGCGGGGACCCCGTCCGGAGCCGGAGGAGGGGGCGGCCGGGGGCCCTCCCGCCCCTGCTCCCGCGTCTCCCGGCACCATGCTGTCCAACTCCCAGGGCCAGACGCCGCCGGTGCTGTTCCCCAACCCGCCACCGCCGCCGCCGCAGCCCCCTGCCCCGTCCCAGCCGCCGCCGCAGCCCCCGCAGCAGTTCCCCCAGTTCCACGTCAAGTCGAGCCTGCAGATTAAGAAGAACGCCATCATCGACGACTACAAGGTCACCACCCAGGTCCTGGGGCTGGGCATCAACGGAAAAGTTTTGCAGATCTTAAACAAGAGGACCCAGGAAAAATTCGCCCTAAAAGTAGGCTTGGGGGCCGCGGGAGGGGAGGACGGGCAGAGGCGAGCTCCCAGGGACAACCCCCGGCGCCCCGAGCGGCCGGAGCGCACGGCGCTCAGCGTGACCGTGCCGACCCTTTCCCGGGACCCGGCGTCCGGGCCGCCGCGGGGCGGTGGGTCGGGGCGCCCAGGGTGCCAAGTGCGCGGCGGGGGCGCGGGCGGCGGGAAGGTCAGGTCTGGGCAGACCACGCCGCCGACACCGCGTTTCCGGTCACCTCGGGTGTGAGTGGCGGGGACTCCAGAGGACTCGTGAGGACTCTGCCATTTTGGGGTTTGAGCGGGATCCAGCCGAGTCTGAACGGTTGGCTTCGGGACCACTTCTGCTAATTTCACCGCGTCTCGAGGAAGTGATTTTCTGGGGTTGTGGTTCCCCATCCTCTCCTCCCTCCTTCCTTTCTTTCTGCGGGCACAAAAGACCCATTACTCATTGAGCTGGTTGGTCGGTTGGTTTGGAGAAGTCGGATCTCAGAGGTTTATTTAGCCTCGCTCCTTATTTGGGAGCCGGAATGTGTGATTTCATTTCCCTGGGCCTCGCGAGTGCGGCCGGGCCGCCTGGGCGCGCGCCGGCCCGGGAGGTAGGAGCAAGGCTGGGGATTCCGCGGGGCCACCGCCCCCCTCCCGGGGAAGGAGGGATTGTTTTGATCTGAGAGCTGGCGCCCTCCTACCTTCCGTGCCAGTGCTGTTCCAGATGGGAGGCCAGTGGGCTCTGGCGAGGCGTCTGCTGTTTCCATAGCGTCGTTGGTCTTTGTAAACCGGTCGAAACCACGCTTGGCCCGGTGCTGATTCCACAGATCGGAGGTGGCCGCTTGAGTCCTGGACGTGGGCCACTGGTGAATAGTGGAAGGAGCGTTATCCTTGAATTGGGGAAACCCAACTTTTTTTAAAACATTTTTTTTGAGGGGTTGTGGTAAGGGGAGAATGGTGATTTCAGTGAGGCCACCTACTTCAGAAGTCAAACAGAATGGACGTGGAGGTTTGATGAGACGGATGAGTACCAAGTGCAGTGGGAGGCAGGGTTCGGAGTCACTAAAAGGTTTTCCCCTCAGGGTTTTCATATCAAACTACATCTCTAAAGGTGACACATCACCCCTGTTTCCCCTGGGGTGTCTTAATGATTGGAGGAGAAAATTACTTCCTGTGTTATATTTCCCTCTTCCTCCTCAACCCCCACTACTAGTGTATTTAAACTGTTAACACAAAACTCAGATATGTGTTGTGGGTGGGACTGTTGGAATATGTAATTAGATGTAATAAAAGCCTGGTATGTACTTCAGGATTGTAGAGGGCAAGAATGTCCAATTTCCAGATTTTAGGCCTCTATAAATGATTTTTTTCTTGCTCCTTTATTCCTTTCATTTGGGGGAGAGCTTCCAACTAGCCCCAAACACTGCCAGCTTTCTGTGGTTTCTACGTGAAGGTGTTGTTGTGGGCTTTTGGTTGTTGTTTAGTGTAGGACTGTTGGAGAAGGAATGTATCAGTATCTTGAACACTTTGATCCTTTTTGTGTCGTTGAGCATGGTTCTGACCTTGGGTAGGAGTTGAGTGAATACTGTTTGACCACAGTTAACCTGTACAGTTGAGGAAGTGACAGACGGTTCCTTCCAGGAGTTTTCTGTCTCCTCTGAGATGCCATCTGCCTCCACCCATCAGCAGTTTGGGGACACTGGCTGCTCATTTTCTTGGAAAGTTGGGATACTGTATGAAGATTTCAGAACAAAAGCTCTCAATTTCTGCTCCTTATTCTATTCAATAGGCGCACAAAACCACCCTCTAAAAGGCTTTTGGGTGGCAATGAAGATTTCTGTGGTAATAAATAGAGAGAGATTTGGATATTTAGTGCTTTTGAATAGTTCTGAAAGGGAAAATCCAGCAGTATTTTAAATGACACTCATAGTTTATCCTTCGCAGGTTAGAAGTGGGTGATGATTGAAGTCAGAGTCTGTTTTGACAGGTAGTGTGCTCCCAGATCTTATAAGTTGACTCAACTGTTAAATTGCAGATTTCCCACACATCTTTGTGTAAAAACTTAATAATAGAGGGGGAGAGAAAGGATGAGGCATTTAGAGACTGACGGCAGTGTCAACAGCACTTCCACATCCAAATATTGGCTGACATAATTACAGCTGTGGGGGGAGTCTGGTTCAAAGAATCCTGTTCCAGACATACACCGAAGAGGTTTCTAGATCTTGAATCTTGATGAACGTAACCTTAGGTGCTGAGTAGTGAAGTGATTTTTCAAAACCTGGACTGGTCTGATTATAAAGGAAGGGAGGTAGATGGGGGTGGGGCAGGAGAGGTTGCCCTGTTGGAAAGGTGCCTCAAGCAAAAGGGAAAGACCTCTACCCTACACAGTGTGTGTCACAGCAGTCCTGGGGATTTGGGGCAGAGAGCAGGGCCTCTGAGGGTTGATGGGAGGTGGTGGCTGCCCAGATGTCCTACTCCCTGTCTGTGGTCTATGACCTCTTTGCCCAATTAAGTGAAATCAGTGCTACATCTCTGAGAGGTCTGACGTGTAGATGCTTTTGGTGGGTGCTATGACCTTACCTCACCATCTCCTGGCTGCCTCTGCTGAGTTCTGAGTCACCCTTATACTTCAGAGTCAGAGGTACCGCAGAGGTCATTTCATCTAACCTCCTCATTTTGCAGATGAGAAAAGTAAGGCCCTGAGAAAAGACTTGCTTGAGGTAATGGAGCCATGCACTTGGCGGAGCCAGGATTAGAACCCAGGACACCCGACTCCGGGTCTCAGGCCTCTTCACACTTCCTTATTGCAGTGTCATTAGCTGGCCACCCCAGGAGAAGCTACACACTGTCACCACAGGCCTTCCTTGGCCCTCCTTGGCTGTGGGCAAGGGGTGCTGGGTGGAGATTCCTCAGCAGTAACCCCTGAATTTGGAGAGGTAGCTTATAAACCAACCCAGCAGCTCCATGAGTTTTGAGTCTGTGGTAACAAGCTTTTTACCACTCCCTCTCCCTTTTAGGGAGTGTTGGATAGAAATCTGGTTTATTATTATTTTTTGTACAAGAATATGGAAATTCTATTAACTATATCTTTAATAGAGACACCTAGTCTCAATCCACTTGAGTAGTAATTGGTCATATTCCCTGTGCGGTTCTCCTGCTGCTTCCTGCTTCACTGTGTCATGGTGACTCTTAGGTATTAGTTGAATGGATTTAATTAAAGCTGGCATCATTGTCCCTCTCTGCTGTGTGACTCTGATTAGGTGAAACATGTTACTGCTTAAAAACATAAAGAATGTTGTCATAACTTATCTCCGTTTATCTTTCCATTGCATGGAGTAAAGAAGACAAGGTCCTGTGGTTTCTTCTTCTTTCCTTTCTCCAGCGACCCTTTCTCCCCAGATCATGTAGAGTCACTGCAGTGTGGCTTCCTTGGATGTTCTGAAGGGGACCTCTGGTCTGGTGTTCTGGTTGGTCTGGGCACCATTAGAAGAACAACCAGGGCTCCCACATCCCCACAGTGCAGGCAGCATCCTATCCAGCACACCTCATGCACACCTGTTCGGGACCACGATTGGTAGTGTGGCTGGACCATGGGCATTGTTCCAAATTGGGATTTGCTAGATGGAATCACAAGGTATGAAAAGTGTCATTGACCAAGCCAACCTCTTTTATATCCACTATGGTTATAGTTCACTGAGCATCCTACCATATGTTGTTGTAAAGAGGATACAGACACATAAAATGGCACTAAAATGTTTGGGGGTCAAGAAACCAATTTGGAGAAAGTGAAATTAACAACTTGTAGTCTAGGTCTGCATTGTCTGATGTGGTAACCAGTAGCCACGCATGGCTATTTCAGTTAAAATTAATTAAACTAAATTAAATTTTAAAAATTAGCTGCTAGCTATATTTCAAGTATTCAGCAGCTACACGTGGCTAATGGCTACTGGATTGAACGGTGCAGAAGAACATTTTCCTTCTAGAAAGTTCCACTGGACTTGGCTGGTCTAGGGGTTAAATCGGGTGTTTGGGAACGCAGGAGTTTGAAAGAGGGAAGTCTGTGAGGATCAAAGGAGCTGGGAACAGCTCACTGCTGGGCCCCCAGGAAATGAGCTGATCTGCAGGAGTGACGGTGATGTTGGCCCTGGGTAGTAGAGTTGAAGGGAGAGCAGGAGCTCAGGTTGGTAGGGAGCTGGTGGGGCTGGTGGCTCAGAACTGAACCTAAGCCATCTTTGTATTAAAAGCAGTTTTTAGAATGTTTGAGGGTCATGAAATAAGTGAACAGGATGTTATAAAGAGAGGTAACGAGCTGCCGAAGTTGGGGCTTGTGGTTTTTGAGGGATGGTTTCAGAAACCCTGTCCCTCTCCTGGGGCTCTGGCCCCTGTGTCCTGCAGCAGGGCTCTTGACATCCACTGAGGCAGGATCAAAGCTGGGTTGGCTCACGGTCCTTTTTCACTGGTGAATTCTGGGGCTTTGATAGAGCTTGAAAATAATCTCTAACGAAGGTCTAGGATCAGTGGTTTACAGAAGGTGGGGGGAGGGTGGTGGTGGAGAAAAGCAGCCTCAGGTCTTGGGAACAGATATTGGGTGTCTGAGAAATGAAGAGGCTCCTCTTCAGGAGGATGAAAGTATTGGTATCCATGATTATGATGTTTTGGCTGCTTGGGATCTGAGAGGTTGGGCCATCATCAGTTGGTGATTTTCCTTAAGAAGCAGGTGCAGGGGATTCAGGGTGTGGCCTGGAAAAGCCAAACTTCAGCACTGCTGGAGGCAAACTGAGTCCCTGGCCAAATCCTGGGGCTGGGGGAGAGGGCCGAAGCTCCTGTCACTGTCTCCCTATGGAGTCTGTGCCAGGAGGAGTGACAGCCACAGGGGGGAAGGGCAGGGCAGGGCATCTGCTTCTGATCCCTTTCACAGTTCCCAGGTGGTCCTCCCGTGCTCTGAGCCAGGATTCTCCCGTTGTTTGATGGTTGTTTGATGTCTGGCACAGGAGTCATACT